ATTTTTAAGAATGGCATGTATTTAGCATGGCACTGTCACCCCTGTCCTGCCCTGCAAAACAGAATCTCATACTCACTGAAATTCCAAACCAGTCAAAAGATAAACTGAGACAAAGTATGGACTACTTTGTCTCAGTATATTTCCTATGTCTGACACTCTAGACACTGGGCGGAGCTACAGCCATCTAGAAGTGTCAATCTCCAGGATGTGACATATATCCTCCGTAGTCCTGAATGTTGTACTTTTGCGCGTGCAGCAGGACCGGCCGGAAGAAGTTGTCGGCGCCCGCAAGAGACAGGTTCAATAAATAAATCTCACTTTTCTCTGGGTCCCTCCCATCGGCCATTGAACCACCAGTGGTGATGTTAGCGGCGCGGGTCTTGTCCATATGGTGACAGTGTCAATTTAAACTAGTTTACTGTAGCTCTGTTTAAGCAGAAGGGGCCGTTATACCCTAAGCTGCTAGCTTCAGAACACTTAATAGCGTTAAGGATCGATGATTGTACTATTGTCCTCACAAAGCAGACGCAGACCTACAAAACACGTAGGACTAGTACTGCGTCTCCAGGAACCTTGTCCAGGTTGCCATTATCGACCCGGCAGCCATGCCTGCCTCACTTCCACTGACTACCCCAACCCCAGGTAATACCACTAATTCTAAGCCAACACCAACTATCTCACACATTATCACGCCTGCCCACTAAGTACCCCAGACCATTAAAAAAGACATACTAAAAGGGAAAGACGTAAATCTAGTCTCCCTTCTGATAGCGTCCCAAGACCTGGTTGAGAATAAGGCTTACTGATACTTGACCCCAGGCTCAACAGGAAATTATCCATTCCTGACTTTGTGATAGCATTTTGCCTGTACAGGGATGTTATCTGCTCCGTTTCCCCCCCAAAGCAGTGAGAAGGAGCTTGACCAATATCTACACAAATTGGTAGACCTTGGCAACAGATGAAAAGATCACCTCACCGACACAGGTATATATACATACGATTCAAAATCGCCGACAGTACTTGGGCTGCGCGCTCGGGACATCCATGTCCCTTCGAAGGCCCCTTTCATCTGATGATGTTGCAGCAGGATCATTACACTACAGAGGAAGGTTTGCCCATTCAACCTGCTGGAGCAGATTCACCCTCTTCATTTTCCATCTACCATTAGAAAACCCTCCAGCTCCTTCAACTCTTCATATAAAGAGGATATTCCAACTGGTGAGATCCACCTGGATATAGAGATTATTATACTGCACTATTTTTTGGACTGATGCACACAAGGACTCTATTTTTGTCTTTTTTTCCCTTTTTTATCATTTTTAACTTTTTTCCTTTTTTTCCTTTTTTATTTTTTTCTTTTTCTTCTTTTTTATTGTGATTTCACACAGGCAGCAGCATTTTGTATCGTGCTAGATACTTTGTCTTGACATCACCGGTGTGATCATTACCAGCTGACAGCTGTATATATATCCATATAATGAATTTAAATGGCGTTTTTGTAATTATTTGTAAATAGCTACTGTACATATGATGAAATGAATGTAACCGTCTATACGATGTAATCAATATTTTTGCAATCACTAATATACTCAAAAGTAGGTTAAGGGAACAATAAAGTAATTGCATTATTATTAACATTTATTATTGATTTTTGTCATATATATATGACTAGAGTGCGGTATTCATATTTATTTGTTGATTGATATTATGAGGCTTTATTAGGGTTAACCTCGAATACCTGCACCTAAGACATGATTGAGTGCCAGCACAAACTGTATTTGTTAACATAAGCTCAGACTCGAGACAACTTGACATGGAGCTGTTCTGCCGTCACTTTGCCGGCCTCAAGCCTCCGTCTTGTGCCATATGTGCTTCAAACGCACATTCTACCAATCTGTGCCCCACTGAACGAAGATCGACTTCTACCAGCCGAGCCGAGTCCACACCTACCAAGTCTGATGGGGTACTCAAAGACAAACTTGGCAGGCCCATCATCTTCCTAGGCAAGGCAAGATATGCAACAACTTTAACGCTGGAGGTTGCAGCTTCTGCGCATTTTGGTTGTTGCGTGTCTGTTCCCTTTGCTTCAGAGCAAATGCGAAGGCCATGTGCCCCAACAGGCTGTTCCCTAAGCAATGACTCACCAAAATTAACATTGGGAACCTCACTTATTATCTCACCAATCACCCCTCCCCACACTTAATTTCCTTACCACGGGGTTCATGGCTCTCCTGGGGGGGCACTTTAGAATGTAGGAACCTCCAATCAGCCACCTTAGGCCATGACACCACAGACACCCTGCTCGCAGCAGAACTTAATCACAGGTTTTTGATAGGCCCCTTTAAACAACCCCCCTATTCCAATTGGAGAACAAACCCTATTGGTATTGCGACTGGCAAATTTTATAATAAAAATCGTTTGATTATTGCCCTCTCCGCACCTCATTCCTCTTTTGTTCCTAGTATTAATTCACTCATACCATCAGGAGAATTCTCGCTACAGTATGCCACAGTGAACAACACTATGGGAGCTATCTTGAAAGCTGGGCATGATGCCTGGCTGGGGAAGACAGATATCTCAAATGCCTACATCTGTCACTGTGGCATTTTCACGCTGTGAAATGGAAGGGCCAGTACTATTTCGCCACGCGTCTGACGTTTGGGGCCAAGAGCAGCCACTCTTCGACAAGTTCCAGAAACAGTATGCTGGCTGCTCCTAAACATGTGATGCTGCCCAGTAGCTATACATTACCTAGACGACTTCCATATGGTAGAAGTGCCCAACAAAATTCCCCACAGCATTGACAAAACAGTGGCACTATTCTCCACATTGGGAGTACCCCTACAGGTAGGAAAAATAATAGGTCCCTCTACCGACCTAACATTCCTAGGTATCCACCTGGACTCGGCAGCCATCATAGCCAGTCCGCCAGACGAGAAAGGTCACCGCATCAGAAACGGAATCACAGGGTTCCTACACACGAGTAGTTGCTCCGGCAAAAAGTTACTGTCACTACTCGGCTCCCATAATTTCGCAGTTTGCTTCATACCAAAAGGCCGTGCATTCATATCACGCCTACTGCACCTCCAACCTGAGGCCCCTCACGACAATAACACTATTTCTATTGACCATCACGCAAAGGCGGATTTACTCATGTGGGGTAGATTTCTCTCCTCTTGGAATGTGAAATCTATGTTCATAGCCCCGCTAAACTACGAGTCTCCGGTCTTATGGACCGATGTGGCAGGCCACACAGGGTTCGCTGCCATTTATCTTAATCGATTGTTCCGGGACTCATGGTCCCCCAAAACCTTGACACCACAGGCTTTCAGCACCACATCGAAATATACCCCACAGTAGCAGCGGCACACACCTGGGTGCATTATGAGAAGGCAAAGCAGGCAAAGGCCTCTCCAATAACGAAGCTGCCTGCGAAATCATAAACAAAGGCAGGTCCTCCTCACTAGTGATTATGAGACTCATCAGGAAACTCCCGTAGTTGGCAGCAACACACGACTTTCACCTGGTTTGCATACACGTACCTGACCGGGAAAACATTGCATTTTTCAAACACCACCCCACAGCGGCCAGCACACCTGAGGTAACCTCTGCTTTCCAGGACCTGCTAATGGTCCTAAAATAACATGCCCTAACTGGCGAAATCCGCTTTGTCAGTGCCAGGAAATCCTACGACAGAGAACCAACTATACTTACCAGGTTTACATCCGAACACCACATCACTGACACTTTCTCTATAGACACGATAGTTACGTTCACCGCTCACTGCCACTTACACCTAAAGTTGGCACACAACACCATCAAGCTGTACCTGACGGGGGTACAACACCACCTTCTCACCTTATTCCCCAATTACAGACCATTCATGTCGTCCTATCACCTGAAAAACATCCTCAAAGGCATATAGCGCATTGACGGCCCCCCTAACACAAAAAGACAACCAATAGACGGGAATAAATTCAAGGCACTATCAGACTTGCTAGACACCTGCCCATTTGAACCCCTTACTAACTGCATAATCAAGTCAGCCATGTACATCACATTTTACTGGTTCTTATGACCCAATGAGTGCACGGTGGGTAGACTGTCCAGGAATCCAAGCTATATTAGAATAAGGGATCTACATAAATGGGGCGACCACTACGAACTGCAACTAAGATGATCCAAGACGAACCAGTTGGGCCCCCCGACAGAGGTCGAATACTTTCCGACTCACAACAAATGGTGTCCGGTGACTTTCTTGGATAACTTTTGCCTCTCCCTCACAGACTAACAGAGCTACTCACCGCTGTTCGCAATATACAATAAACCACTTACCACAGCAAAATTCAGGTACTACGTGAGGGCCATGGCCATTAGACTAGGTTACGACACAATGTCCATCTCAGGACACTCCTTTAGGATCGGCGCCTCATCCAGCAAAAACGTGCCTGTACACATCATAAAGAAATTAGGCAGGTGGAAATCAGCAGCCTATAGCAAATACATCCCACAGCCGGAGAGAGAAATCAGAAATGATTTTAAAGAATTGGTCATGAAAATAATAGACACACACACACAAAAATCTATGGGGAAAAAATGTATGCAGGCTCTATAAGTCATTGTGCCATGGTAGTGTATATAAACACACACACAAACACTACTGTAGCACAATGACTTGTAGGGCTGGCATACATTTTCTTCCAGCCCTCTCCTTAATATGTCAAGGTAGTTGGACTGAGACATTCATGATAAGCAAATACACGCCTTAAAATAAATCCGCTCTTTTGTTAATTTGAAGCCCTAGGAGTGCTTTCTTTCATGATGGAGTAATAGTTTTCAATTTTCAACTTAAGTTATGTTTCCAGTCCACCTCTATACCTACATACTATGCTGGCGCGATGTATTATTGGGCTTGTATAGAGTTATTTTCCAGGGCTGCCTTTGTTGCCAGTCCGGCCCTGGTTTCGCGGTCTCTGTCCGTGCTGACAGTGTGCTGTTTTTTAGTCTCTGTCAGTGCTGACAGTGTGCTGGTTGGAGTCTCTGTCAGTGCTGACAGTGTGCTGGTTGCAGTTTCTGTCCGTGCTGACAGTGTGCTGGTTGCAGTCTCTGTCCGTGCTGACAGTGTGCTGGTTGCAGTCTCTGTCCGTGCTGACAGTGTGTTGGTTGTGGTCTCTGTCAGTGCTGACAGTTTGCTGGTTGCGGTCTCTGTCCGTGCTGACAGTGTGCTGGCTGCTGTTTCTGTCCGTGCTGACAGTGTCCTGGTTGAAGTCTCTCTCCGTGCTGACGGTGTCCTGGTTGCAGTCTCTGTCCGTGCTGACAGTGCGCTGGTTGCAGTTTCTGTCAGTGCTGACAGTGCGCTGGTTGCAGTCTCTGTCCGTGCTGACAGTGTGCTGGTTGCGGTCTCTGTCCATGCTGACAGTGTGTTGGTATGCATTCTCTGTCAGTGCTGACAGTGTGCTGGTTGGAGTCTCTGTCAGTGCTGACAGTGTGCCGGTTGCAGTCTCTGTCAGTGCTGACAGTGTGCCGGTTGCAGTCTCTGTCAGTGCTGACAGTGCGCTGATTTTAGTCTCTATCACTGCTGACAGAGTGCTCGGCCCCCTGTTTGTTTATATCCTTTAACAAGATCAATGCTAATGAAGTTTAGTTAATCTCAGGGGGGCACCCAGCTGGGCCCTTACACCCCGTTGTTTTTTCCTTTAATGAGCATTATTGTCGGCTGCGCTGGGACCAATTATCGTCTGTTAAGTAACACAAAGGCAGTTAGAGCATGCCCAAACATCATAACATTTCAAGACGTTAGTGTGATCTCTGCCACTTCAGGTAAACACAGGTATCCTGACTGTAAAACCAGTGCTGCTTCCATTACCAGGCAGCATGTACCCACATGGACAGCCAGATGGCTGGCAAAGCATCATGGGAGATGTAGTTTTACAGCTGGTGTGTTACTTTGCAGCCAATTCTGAAAAAGCATCTAGTAAGAAGGTGCAGCCCAATCTAGCAGTGAATTAAGCAATGGTTAAAACATGTCTGCTGTTTAATGATAATGTAATGAGTTTACGTAGTGACTCATGTTGCGCAGGTTTCTGTTCAGTGCAATTAGGAGGTTTATTCACTAAACAGCAAACCCGAGTCACTCGAAAGAGAATCGAAACATTATAAAGAGTTGCCAGGGTAACCAATTTACTATTTACATGTAAACTGGGATTTTCAGTTCAGTGCAATTCGTTGTTTAGTGAATACGCCCCAAGCCGTTACAAACATTCTGTGTGGGCTCGGAGTCTCACTAATAGCTGCACGGACGACGTTTCACCTTTCTTTGGAATGCGTAAGAGGAGCATTAGTAATATTTGCTTTGCAGTCAAGAGGCACCATTAAAAAAAACAAGTGGGTTTTCATCAATAAACTGGGAATTTGGGAGAACGGACAAAATAATGAACATTTGAGGTAAAAATATCGAAACTGTGACCTGTTTTTCCAGCTCTAGTATTTGACCAAACTTTGCAAGTTCTTTGTCAATTCTTCATAATTCTCAGTTAAATCAACTGACCCCTCGGTGCCTTATCTACTAAACAGTGAACTATGGTGAACGAAAAGCTAAATCGCTAAATATTTATTTATTGGAAAAATTCTTAGATTTAGCAGTTTTTTTTCAAATTTTTGGTGAGTTTGTCAGCGTTCCACAATTCACAGTTTAGTCAGTAAATCTCTAAGTATTTTTGTTACTTTGTGTTGAAGGTCAGCGTGCGATGGCTTTAGTGACACGCAGATCGCTATTACAGCGACACTGGGTATCTAATCCACTGAAATCCACTGACAAACATCTCGCAGTGAAGGCGGCAGGCGGAGGCCTCTGCATTCCTCAGCCGTTGGCCACACAGGCAGCCTTTGTTCTAGATCAGCAGGTGAAGAAATTATATTCCCATGACGCCCCTTAAAGTAAAAACCCCACAGGCCACGAACTGCAGTCACAGAGTACACGTAGCATTCAGACATATAATATGTTAAACATGTATATTACCCATAAGTCCTGCCATGTCTCCGAGGCCATTTAAATATTCTGCTATGCGGATAAGCAAATGACGGTACTCGCTTTCAGGGTTTTTCCCGAGTGCGAATTGTTGGGAACTCAATGTGAATTCAAAGTGAATTTTAAAAAAAAGTCCAAAAAACAGGAGCTTGCTGTGAATGCACGTCAGCCTGACGGACCATCACACTGTGTGTTCATGCGCAGAGCTCTGTCAAACCCATTGCCCGATGGCTGAGTGCTCCGAGGGCACGAACTTACCTGCACTCTAGCAGAACATTCCCCTAGTGTCCTCATAGTTAAGGTACCAGGGAACAAACACAGCATGGAGGGACACAACCCAGAAACCAGGACTGTCCTGTCTAACGCAAGACTGTTGGGAGCTATGTCAATATATATTCTTGCTACACATTCACCCTCTGCTCAGTCTGCCAAACGCACTCATTGGCAGATCTCAAACTTATTTTTCACATGCACACACTACACCCCAAACATCACACTACACCCAAAACACCATACTGCACACCTCACATGCACACACTACACCTCAAACATCACACTACACCACACACACACACTACACCCCAAACACCACACTATACCCCAAACACCACACTAAACATAACACTACACCCCAAATACCACACTACACCCTTCACATGCACATACTACACCCTAAACACTACACTGCACCCCTCACTACACCCCTCACACACACCCACACACATACTACACCCCAAACACCACACTACACCCCACAACACCTGTGACACTGCACCCCAAACTCACACACACAATAACTACCACACAGCACCAGCGTTCAAACACCACACAGCACCCCTCACACACACACAGCACCCATCTCACAGGCGGACAGACTGTTCAGATCAGCCCAAATACCACACAACACTCCTCATTCAGACATACACTAAGCACTCCCAAACAGCATAAGCAAATGACCCAAACACACAGTGTACACGTCAGCCTGACGGACCATCACACTGTGTGTTCATGCGCAGAGCTCTGTCAAACCCATTGCCCGATGGCCCCGAGGGCACGAACTTACCTGCACTCTAGCAGAACATTCCCCTAGTGTCCTCATAGTTAAGGTACCAGGGAACAAACACAGCATGGAGGGACACAACCCAGAAACCAGGACTGTCCTGTCTAACGCAAGACTGTTGGGAGCTATGTCAATATATATTCTTGCTACACATTCACCCTCTGCTCAGTCTGCCAAACGCACTCATTGGCAGATCTCAAACTTATTTTTCACATGCACACACTACACCCCAAACATCACACTACACCCAAAACACCATACTGCACACCTCACATGCACACACTACACCTCAAACATCACACTACACCACACACACACACTACACCCCAAACACCACACTATACCCCAAACACCACACTAAACATAACACTACACCCCAAATACCACACTACACCCTTCACATGCACATACTACACCCTAAACACTACACTGCACCCCTCACTACACCCCTCACACACACCCACACACATACTACACCCCAAACACCACACTACACCCCAAACACCACACTGCACCCCAAACACACACACAATACACCACACAGCACCCCAAACACCACACAGCACCCCTCACACACACACAGCACCCCTCACACACAGACTGCACCCCAAATACCACACAACACTCCTCACACATACACTGCACCCCAAACAGCACCCCAAACACACAGTGTACTCTTCATACACACTGCACCCCAAACACACAATACACCCCAAACACACAATGCACCCCTCACACACACACTGCCCACCTCACACACCCTTCGAACACACAGTGCAACCTTCACACACACAGTGCACCCCCGACACACGCACTCCTCCCACACACACACTGCACCCTTCACACACACACTGCATCGTTCACACACACACACTGTGCACACCCTGTACTCCTTACACACAGTGCACCCTTCATACTCAGTGGGCCGCTGTGATTCAAAAATGCCCAGTACAAATTTGTTCCCCAGTCCAGCCCATGTGGGAGCACTAGGTAAGCACTCCCTAACCCTTCCTTGGTCAGGCTCTGAACAATGGAAAATCTATCACTATTTATCTACTTTACATATTGCTTATGATTAGACCTCGTATCTCACTCATTGTGCAAAGAAATAAATCCAAAGTTTATCTTTCTGTAGTTCAGCCATTGCCATAGCAATAAATTATCCCCTACCAGCTATTAATCTTTACAGTAGAGTCTGCTATAAATCACACTGAGCTTTCATTTGCTAAATAGTGATTTGTGCTGAACTGGCATCATTCTCAAATATTAGGGGAAAAAACTGCAAATCTAAAACGTAATCACCCTCACGTGTTTGTAAGGTATTTTTTTTTCAAACTTGGCGGTTGTAGTACAGATATCTTCCAGAGGTCCTGAATTGACCCAAATCATTGCTTTCAACCTTAAAGTATTGCAGATTTGATTGTGGATAAGCTTCTCAAATTATTTAATATTTTTGGATAAACTTTTAAAATGATTTTAATGATTTTAAAAGTATTTTAAGATTTTTATGTCTTTTGATGCATTGATATATTTTTTTATATATATTTGTGAAACATATTTCTATATTTTAATATTTTGAAAAAAAAGAATTTTCAAAGTTATTCCAAACTTTTTTCCAATTGCCTACGGAAACACAGGGGCCCGAACATCGAAATAGTTACTCGAACAGTATAGTGTTAGGAATACAAGTTTGCATTCTTAAAGCTATATTGATTCTGGTATGGTGTCATTTAAAGTGCGACACCCATGGGAAGAGATGCAGATTGTCAGTTTTTGGGGGCCTGTATCATATCGCATTACAAAGTGTACCCCCTTTTATCCTTCTCTGTGTTACACCCAGTGGTGGCGATATCCCTGCTACGTTTCTCGTTCTGCTGAATCTCTTTGATGCCCAGCACCTGCCATCTCGGCCGAGTTTCCGTGAGACGTGACAGGCGTTTCTCATCACCTCTGGCATACAATAACCAGCTCGCCTTAGTTTACACAACCTCATTCTGAAATTTTCCAAATCCAAACATCACCCTTCACTGGTAATCTGCGTTCCACATGACAGCCTGTCCGTGTAGCTCGAGTGCATTGAATAACCCCTCACCCAGTGTGCACACACTCCTTGAGAAGGGTTGGAAAGTCCCAATAATCAAAACATGGCACTAGATTTAGGAGGGAGTTAGGGAGTGGGGAGAAGAAAATGCACATTTTAGACTAAAATAAAATGGTCTTGAAAAAAAATAAAAATATACCGAATTCTATACACTGCCCATTCCTGGGAGGCCAGGATGCCCTGCCTGAAGGTCATGGAGCACCCTGAGTTGCACAGGGTAGAT